GTGTGCCGTCGCGAGAATCCTCTGCAACAAATGGGACGAAGTGCAGACGCGCGCGTCGTCGCGGACGTACGCCGAAAACCTTCAAAACCCATCAGTTTCGGAAGGATTTCAAAATCGTGCGTCCAAAAAACCTACAAGATTCCAATGTTTCGCAACACGGATTTTCAACAAAAGCGTGCGCGCGCGCTCTTGCGTCGTCGTCGTCGTCGCCGTCCTCCCTCCTCCCGCGTCGTCGTAGTCGTCGCCTACGTCGTCCTCTGTCTTTTCTCCTGTTTGTCGTCGTCGTCCTCTTTGGCGTCGTGGTCGTTTCCATCGTCGTTGTCGCCGTGGTCGTCCTTCCTTCTCCTCCCACGTCGTCGTCGTCGCCCGTCGTCGGCGTCTCATCGTCGTCCCTCCTATGTCGTCGCCGTCGTCGTCGTCGTCGTTGTCGTCGTCGTCTTCCCTCCTCCCTCGTCGTTGTCGTCGTCGGCGTCGCCGTCCTTCCTCCTTCGTCGTCGTTCGCGTCGTCACCGTCCTCCCTCCTCTTCGTCGTTGTCGTCGTTGTCGCCGTCGTCGTCCTTCCTCCTTCCTCGTCGTCGCCTTCGTTGGCGTCGTCGTCGTCGTTTTCGTCGTCGTCGGCGTCGGCGTCGTTGTCGTCGTCGAAGTCGTCGGAGACGTCGTCGGTGTCGTCCTAGTCGTTGTCGTCGGTGTAGTCGTAGTCGGTCTTAACAGGTTTTGCAAACAAAGTTGCGGGTGGGTGGGTGGGATGTTTGCGCGAGCAGTGGAGATGACGACTTCAAGTTCCGCAGAGTGGATTGCACCACGTAGATTGCACCATGTGAATTCTGCAACCTGGGTTGCACCACATATATTGCAACACGTCGATAGAACAGCACTCAAACATACATCTAAACACATGTTGCATCACACGGACAGCACCACATAGATTGCTCCACAATCAGTGCACAACATTGATTTCACAACATAGAGTGTGCCACATAGGTTGCGCCACGCCGATTGTACCGCATCGGTTGCACCATATACATTGCACCACATTTGTTTGTACCACGACGATTGTCCCATGTATATATATATAAATAAATAGATCGCACAACATATGCTGCACCACCTAGTTTGCACCACATGCACTGCACAACAAAGACTGCCCAACATCGATTGCACCACACGCGTTGCACCACTTAGACTGCACCACATAAGCTCCGCCCAGATAGCACAACATAGATTGCACAACGGAGGCTGTACAACACATCCACTGCGCAAACTCGAGCTGCACCACGCACATGGCCCCACATAAGAGTGCCCCACCTAGACTGCACAGCCTGTACCGCTAGAAGCACGCTGGCTGGGACCCACGATGGCACAACGCTGCATGGAACTCGAGGTTTGTGCGTGCCTGTGTCTCTCTGTCGGGTCGGGCGAAAGGGGGGGATAGCAAAGCGGGGGTTTGAGAATCAGCTCACGTAGCTGATTTTCCCCGCGCCTCCCGGCGCCGGAGGCGGCCATGTATCGAGGAATGGGCCCCTCGGCGAGGCCGAAACCAGCTGCCTGCAGCAGATTTCGTAACCCCCCCTCTCCCAATCCCCCCCTCTCGTCCGGCCCGACCTCTGCACCTCCCGAGCACCGTGGCGGCGGGCAGAGCACCCCCTCGCAACAAAAACACGCCGGCGGGGCGCGCCCCGAGGCCCGCGACGCGAGCGCCGACGGGCGCGCAGGCCCGCCGCACAGGGAACGGGCGGGCTCGCCGGCCCGCAGCCAGCGCACGCCAGATTTCGTCATCAAGGGAGGGGGGTCTCATTTCGGGGGGGGGTCTCTTCCAGGCTATCTTGGAGGGCCTGGGGGGTCTGGGGACGATGTTTTGGAGGGTTCTCCCACGGGGGAGGTCTGAAATGGCTTGTCTTGGAGGGTCCAGACCCCCTCCCTTTGTTTACGAAATCTGGAGTACGCTGGTTGCGGGCCGGCCCGCAGCCAGCGTACGCCGGGTGGCGCCGCGGCCGCGTGGCCGCGGCGCCACCCGGCGGACTTCGGAAACCCCGAACTCCAAAAGCGGTTTCATCTCTTGGGAGGCGTTTTTTTACTCCCGCCGCCTTCCGCCGCCCTTCCTTTTTTCACGGCACTGCGCCCAACCACCTTCTGAGGGACGCTTCGTGAGGGGCCTAGGGTAAAAAACACCGCGAGTCGGCGCACGGTATGGTTAATCATAACGAGGGATCGGGCCCAAACGGGAGCGCCGCCCTTCCGCCGGCTTCCGCCGGCGGAGGCGGCCTCGTTCTACTGCCGCCGACCGTCCGCCGCCCTTCCGCCGCGGAAGCGATGACAACTCCTCCTACTCGCGAAGGCAAGGCCCTTTGTGGAACGCTCCACCCGGAGAACCGAGAGCGGGCCGCTCGCCAATTGGCTTGGCCGGGGGGAGTGGGCTCTAGAGGAGGAGGAGGAGGAGGAGGAGGCGGAGGAGGAGGAGGAGGGGGAGGAGGAGGGGGAGGAGGAGGAGGAGGGGGAGGAGGAGGAGGGGGAGGAGGAGGGGGAGGAGGAGGAGGTAGCAGCCTCGGGCAGAACTTGTGGGGCGTGTCTCTGGGGCCCTTCGCGGCCCGTCGGGGGGGCGGGCTCCGGGAGGCTCCGTGGCCTCTGGGAGCCGTCTGGAGGCCTCCCGGACGCCTCCAGGACGCGTCCCAACGGAGCCGGTCACCGCCGTCGTCCGTCGTCGTCGGCGGCGGCAACGCAGGCAGCGGTCCTCCTCCTCCCTCCCCCTCTCCTACCCCTCCTGCTCCTTCTCCCCCTCCTCTCAAGCACTGGTGGCCCAATGCCTTGAGCCGTTTTTGGACTCGAGCGAGCCATTGGGCACCAACACTGTTGCCTTCATCTGGCGCCTGGGGGGGGCTCCCACCACATCATCATCCGTGGTGAAATGTGTTTCTGCCACGATGATGGGGCCTTGTGGTGTACTTCAAGTTGCCGTTCGGTTGACTTGCACGTACTGTATTTCAGCGTGCTCTGCCACATCTGCACATTTGTCGCGCCGCTTTTTTAGTGGGTTGATTTGCCTGGACAAAACGCCTGCACGACACAACTCGAGGGAAGGTGCCCCAGGTGCCCACGTGAAATCACATGCAGTCGAACACCGCAACATGAATGGCAGCGCAGACACGCTCAAAGCGTCACATCTGCGCCGCCGTTGCGAGGAGCCTCGAGATGCCACCCCGAGACACGGCCACGCCGGGTGCTCCCGAGGACGGTGCTGGTCGTCGTCGTCGTCGCCCGCCGTCGTCGTCGTCGTCATTCTCCTCGTCGTCGTGGACGTACGGAAGGGATTGCCCGCGATGGTCGGGGATCAAGGGGCGGTCAGGGAGAGGGGCGGGGCGAGGAGACGGAGGAGGCCAAATAGGCGACCGGAGAGGAGGAGGCGGAGGGTGGCGGGGAGGCAGCGTCCCAGACATCCCGCGGCTCCACTCTCTCGGGGGCCCCCAGGCGCTGCCGTGACCGCGCGCGGGAGTCGGGGTCCCGGCACGCTTCTGGGACGCGTGTCGTTCTCCGGGGACGTCTCGGGCGGCCTGGGCCCCCATGGGTCGCAACACCGTGCGGTGACGGACGGTGCGGTGAGGCCTCTTGGGACGGTGCGGTGAGGCCTGTCACTACACGGTTCTGGGACCCCCAGTTCTCTCGACATGGGAGCAACATCGGCCCCCAGGGCTCTCGGCCCCTTCCCCGATACCAGCTTCTCACCCAGCATCGTTTCCTGGCGGGCTGGGGCTCCAAAATTCACGGATCCGCGGGAGATCGGTAGCTGGGGAGACAAAGCCAGCGCGTCTGTGGCCGTCGAGGCTCGCGCTTTTCCAGGGGGGGGGGGGCAAGAGTGGGATAGCAAAGGGTAGGGTAGAGAATCCGCTCACGTAGCTTGTTTTCCTGGCGCCTCCTGGCGCTGGGAGGCGCCCATGTGTATCGAGGAATGGGCCTGGCGGCGGGGCCGAAACCAGCTGCATGCAGCAGATTTCGTAACACCCCCCTTTCGCTACGCGCCCAACCACGTACGTGAATACGGTCCCCCCGCTCGCGAGACCAGCCGCGTGATACGAACGTTCGCGCAACGCGTACTCTCGAAACCAACGTGGATTCATGTGCGTGCACGTCCTTCGTTCGCTCCTGACTCAAGGAGCCTTCCGCCCATGAGCCGCCAGCCGGGAACACGCGGACCCCAGGGTTCCTGAGCCCGTTCGGCGTCTGAGCCCATTCGCCCGCCGAGTGGGCTCTTCCGTGCGCGCATGGCCGCCGTCGGACTCTTGCACGTATGCTAGAAAAAGGAAACCTACATAAACATCAACTTCTGGCGCTCCGCAAAAATTCGTTGGATCCGCGCCGGACCCCCCTCCCTGGCGCGCGGAGCGCGCCTGGAGGGGGGCCCAGCGCGGAGCCAAGACACCCACGCGAAGCGCCAGGGGGTTTATGCTTGTGGCGTCTGTTTCTTCTCCGAGGCGTGTACGCAGACGTCCCTCTCCCACTCCTGCAAGGAGGGGCATGCCCGACTTGAGTGTATAGGGGGCGAACAAACCTACCTCGCTTTTGACCACCCTCGCTCCCAAGATATGCCAAAAACGATGCCAAACTGCGGCCTGCACTGGTTGGGCCGCTTGACGAGGAGGCGCGTGGTATGACTTGGTTTTGCCTGGCAGTAGGTAGATCACGCTCTGAGTCTACGGGAGGGAGGGTGAGAGGGAGGAGGGAGGGGAGGGAGGGAGGGAGGGAGGGAGGGAGGGAGGAGGGAGGGAGGGGGAGGGAGGAGGGAGGAGGGGAGGAGGAGGAGGAGGAGGAGGAGGAGGAGGAGGAGAGGAGGGAGGAGGGGGAGGAGAGAGGGAGGGGGGAGGAGGAGGAGGGGAGGAGGAGGAGGAGGGAGGAGGAGGAGGAGGAGGAGGCTCTGAGTGCACGGCCTTCTTTCGCTGCTGCCTCCCGTGCGGCCCGCGCCCTCGAGGGGGCCGCGCCGCCTGCGGCGGTCGGCCCGCGCCCGACGCGCCTCACACGAGCAGGCGGGCCACGCCTCCGCCGGCCCGCAGGGCCCGAGGAGGGGGGGGGGGGCAGGAACCCCAGGGGGAGCCCAGGGGCCCTCCTCGAGGCGGGCCCCTCGGCTCCTCGAGGAGGGCACGAGGAGGGGGGGCCCTCCTCGAGGAGGGCACGAGGAGGAGGGAGGAGGATCGAGGGCGCAGGGAGGAGGATCCTCCTCCCACCTCCTCGTGCCTCTGCCTCCCCTGCCTCCCCGCCGCGGCCTCGCTCCCTCCCTGCCTTCCCACCCCCCCCTCCCTCCCCGGCTTTTCGACGCTGGGCAAACCCTAGGACAAAGCCTGCGGCGTCAAAGTCCCTCCCTGGCTCTCCTCCTCCTCCTCCTCCTCCTCCTCCTCGTCCTCCTCCGCCTCCTCCTCCCCCCTCCTCGATGCTTCCCAATCCTCCTCCTCCTCCTCCTCCTCCTCCTCCTCCCTCCTCCTCCTCCTCCTCCTCCTCCCCCTGCCACGCCTGGGAGAGCAACGTCGGAGGCGACACTCTCCTCGCGGGGCCCTGCGGCCCGTGGAGGAGGCAAACCCTCTACGGGGTGCTGCCGCTGACCAGTGTGACAGGCCACCCGATGCTGAGTCCACCGCCGCAGCCGCCCCCCCCTAGGGGAACAAAACAGAGCCTCCTCCTCCTCCCTCCTCCTCTCTCCTCCTCCTTCTCACTCCTGTCTTTCCCCTCCTCCTCCTCCTCTTCCTCCTCCTCCTCCTGTTCTCCTCTTCTCTCCTCCTCCTCTCCTCCTCTTCCTCCTCCTCCTCCTCCTCCTCCTCCTCCTCCTCCTCCTCCTCCTCCTCCTCCTCCTCCTCCTCCTCCTCCTCCTCCTCCTCCTCCTCCTCCTCCTCCTCCTCCTCCTCCCCCTAGGGGAACAAACAACGGCATCTGTATAGACAACTCCGAGGTCCGCGCGGAGATCTCGCATCGGCGCTGGATCCCCCCTACCTGGCGCGCTCCGCGCGCCAGGGGCGATGCTGGAGCCGCCGCCAGGGGACCCCAGCACCGATCCGAGGAATCAGCGCGGACCTCCGAGTTGTAATCTTAATGTCGTTGTTTGTTCCCCTGTTCCCTACTGCAGTCTCCTTGGGTGCAGAGGGACATACCAGTATTATGAGCCCTCCCTGGTGGTGCACGCCCTGACCAGACGCGTGGCACAAACATTCCAAAATTCCCCAAACAGTCACGGCACCTAGGGGCTCTTGCTTCTCCTCTACGGAGCAGGGCAGGTAAGGCGGTCTGGCGGCTATGTTGTCGCCGTCGTTGCCCCGTCGCCCCCCGTCCGCTGGGCCGCTGTGGCGGTCTGGCGGCTCTATTGTCGCCGTCGCCGCCCCGTCGCCGCCTCGTCGCCTCCCGCCATCTGGGCCAGTATAGCGGTATGGCGGCTCTGTTGTCGCCGTCGCCGCCCCGTCGCCCCCTCGAGGCCGCCATAGTGTCTACAATGTAGAATGCACCGCACCAATTGCATCACCAAGGTCGCACCGCATAGATTGCACTAAGTAGCTTGCACAAGGTATATTGTCCAGAAGAGAAATAGATTCTCTCTCTCTCTCTCACTCTCTCTCTCCCCCCCCCCCAGAATTACCGACCCCCTTTTCGTATTGCAATTGGCATACGATTATGCCCCAGGTTCCATCCTAGAACTGTACTAATACCGTCCGAGCCCAACCGGTATCGACACACCCCGCCATCCTTTGCAAACGGATACGACGCACTCTCGTTCATCACAAACCAGCAATTCTCAAACATCCCTTGCAACAGAAGAACCGAAGTGTACACGCGCGCGTCGCCGCGCGCGTATGCCGTAATCCTTGAACAAAAACCTGCGGTTTCGTAACGATTCCAACATCGAAAAATGATTTGGCAACAAACTTTTCAAAAACAAATGTGCGCCCGCGCTCGTGCGAAATTTTTGAAGCACCATGGGCTTTCAAATGTTCGATCACGTTGTTTCGCATTGGCCTTTCGCGCGCGCAGAAATAGCCTGGCGAAGGACCCAGCAATACGCAGTAGTGAATACCGCAATTGTGAATACCATCTTCGCCCGCGCTCCCTATGTGGCCACGGCTTCCCGCCAGAGCCCGACATGCTCAGGTACACGTTCGTGGCCGTCTTCGCGGGCGCCGACGACGACAAGGACGGCGCCCCCCTCACCGAGGAGCACAAGCAGGAGAGGGCCTTGAGAGCCATGAGGGAGGAGGTGGCGTTGCACGTCGACAAGGCGGAGTACGACGCCCAGGCGCGGTTGTTGAAGCAGCACAAGTATGGGGCCACGATCCTCATGAGGGTTGTGCCGCAATGGCCCGGGGCCGCCATGCGAACCCTGCCACTGGCGCCTTCGGTGGAGCTCCCTATGGGGCCACGATCCTCGTGAGGGGTGTGCCGAAATGGCCCGAGGCCGCCATGCGAACCCTGCCACTAGCGCCTTCGGTGGAGGGGGCCGATCCAGAGGGGTGTGCCGAAATGGCCCGAGGCCGCCATGCGACCCTGCCACTGGCGCCTTCGGTGGAGCTCCCTGATGGGGCCACGATCCTCGAGAGGGGTGTGCCGAAATGGCCCGAGGCCGCCATGCTGCGGTTCGGAGCTCCCTATGGGGCCACGATCCTCGAGAGGGGTGCCGAAATGGCCCGAGGCCGCCATGCGAACCCTGCCACTGGGGGCCTTCGGTGGAGCTCCCTACGGGGCCACGATCCTCGTGAGGGGTGTGCCGAAATGGCCCGAGGCCGCCGTGCGAACCCTGCCACTGGGGTCTTCGGTGGAGCTCCCTATGGGGCCACGATCCTCGTGAGGGGTGTACCGAAATGGCCCGAGGCCGCCATGCGAACCCTGCGACTGGCGCCTTCGGTGGAGCTCCCTATGGGGCCACGATCCTCGTGAAGGGTGTGCCGAAATGGCCCGAGGCCGCCATGCGAACCCTTCGACTGGCGCCTTCGGTGGAGCTCCCTATGGGGCCACGATCCTCGAGAGGGGTGTGCCGAAATGGCCCGAGGCTGCCATGCGAACCCTGCCACTGGAGCCTTCGGTGGAGCTCCCTATGGGGCCACGATCCTCGTAAGGGGTGTGCCGAAATGGCCCGAGGCCGCCGTGCGAACCCTGCCACTGGGGCCTTCGGGGGAGCTCCCTATGGGGCCACGAAACGATGCACTGGGTGGGTGAAACGCAGGGAGGAGGGAGGAGGAGGAGGAGGAGGAGGAGGAGAGGAGACGCGGGCCACCGTCTCTTCAAAACGAGGACCCAACACCACAGCATGGTTGGGAAAAAAATCATTCGAACGCCCCTGCGCGCGTGCTGTCGCAACAATCTCTGGCAGCGAATGGGACGAAGTGCACACGCGCGTGTCGTCGCGCGCGCATGCCGAAGTTCTTAAACATATTCGAACGCGAGAGGGTTTCAACATCGAGTGCCACGAACACAGATATAAAAAATTCCGGCGCTCGCACCCATGGGAATTCTTAAGAGAACCATCGGTTTTCCAAGATGTTCATCACATTCTGCTAAACGGGCCTCTCGCGCCGCATGTCGGACTCATTCGAACGCCCTTGCGCGCGTGCTCAGGGAAGGTGGGGCGCGATCCGTGTTAAATCACTCACTGCGTGGAGCTACCCATATGTGCATCTATTAGTATCGACCTGTCCGCCGTGAGTGTCTAGGCGCAAGAGTTTTCGAATATTCACGGGCTTGAGTGAGTATTGACCGTCTGGGAGTGAATCTGACTGCGAATGAGTGGGAGTGTGAATGATTCTCAATGTACGAGCGCGTCTCTGCGCATGAGCCTGGGGCCCCCTGGGGCCTCTTGAAACCTCCTGCGGCCTCCTGAAGCCTTGTGTTGCCTCCTGGGGCCTCTTGGAGCCTCCTGGAGCATCCTGGGGCACACCGGGGAGAATTCGTGCCCCAGGAGAGGCCCAATCGATAGGAACAGACGTACACAAAACACTGCGGATTGGAGCCACAGGAGAACGGTAATCTATAGGAACACGCGTAAAACACAAAGGGCTCGTGCCCCATGGGAGGCCCAATATATAGGAACATATGTAAAACACTTAGGATTGGATACGCAGGAATAGGACACTCTACACAGACATACGTAAAACATTACGGATTTGTGCTCCAGGGGAAACCCAATCTATAGGAGCAGACGTACAACGCTTGGGATTGGAGCCACCCCTTTGGCCTTTTGAGGCCTCCAACTCCAAAGGCCTCTTGGAGCCTCCTGGTGCCTTCCGGGGCCTCCTGGTGCCTCCTGGCGTTTCCTGTGGTTTTTTGGGGCCTCCTGTGGCTTCCTGTGGCCTCCTGGAGCCTCTTGGGGTATCCTGTGGCCTGTTGAGTTTTCCTGTGGCCTCCTGGTGCCTCCTGGGACCTCCTGTTGCCTCCTGGAGCCGGAGCCTGCTGGAGCCTCCTGTGGCATCCTGGGAAGACTCCGTGCCCACGTGTCCGTCCACCGAAACAGGCAAACCGATCGAGACGTCCTTAAAAAAATTCTGTCCCCGCCTTGGGGGTGAAAGCGAACGCCTCGCTCGAGACGTCCTGCAAATCTGCTCCGAGAGCGACGACTGGTACGGCACCGCCGCATCCCTGCCGCTTTGGCGCGCGAGCAGAAGCCGTGCAATACCCCCTGGCGGCTTCCCCTTGGAGGTGCTGAAATCTGCGCCTCGCTCGAGACATCCTCATCATCTCTGCTGGGCGCAGACGAGCCTGGCTTCCAAAGGAAGCAAACCGCTCGAGACATCCTCGCCATCGTCGTCATCATTCGGTAGTATCATAAGTCTGAATGCGTCATCGTACTGCGAGGAGGATGGGGAAGAGAGGGAGGAGGTGAGGAGGCCCGCGCGGTCAGAACAATTACGCTACCGAAGAACCTCACATAATTATACTATGTTTGGCGTGGTGATACCTGGCGTGAAACTTGCGAGAATGATGCATGTGCCCGTTGTTTCGCCGATACCGTTGGTGGCGCCGGTCAACCCTTGAGGGCCTGAGTGCCCTGAGGGGGTCCAGGAAGGGCGA